TAGTCGTAGTCGTAGTCGTAGTCGTAGTCGTAGTCGTAGTTGTAGTTGTAGTTGTAGTAGTAGTAGCAGTAGTAGTCTCAGTAGTTGCAGTAGTAGTAGTAGTAGTAGTAGTAGTAGTAGTAGTAGTAGTAATAGTAGTGGTAGTAGCACTACTACTTGTACTAGTAGTTGCACGTGTAGTCGGGATAGTAGTCGTCGTAGTAATAATCGTAGTAGGAGTAGTATTATTATTATTAGTAGTAGTAGTTGTAGTAGTAGTAGTGGTAGTAGTACAGACGTACGAACGTACGTTCGTAGTAGTCGTAGTAGTAGTAGTAGTAGTAGTAGTAGGGGAAGAGGAGGAGGAAACATAATAGTAGTAGTAGTAGTAGCAGTAGTAGTAGTAGTAGTCGTCGTAATCGTAGTCGTCGTCGTAGTAGTCGTAGTAAAGTAGTAGTAGTAGTAGTAGTAGTAGTAGTAGTAGTAGTAGTAGTAGTAGTAGTAGTAGTAGTAGAACTGCTGATACGGATAACAGTCATAACAATACTAATATTCATTGTAAGAAGAAGAAGAAGAGGAAGAAGGAATAGGGCGGGGCCAGGACGAGGATAAAACCCTTCGGAGCGTTCGGGAACGCTTTCAATGAGTTCGGGATCGCTCTGAGGAGGCCGCGGCGCCCGAGACGTGCTCCAGAGCCGCCGGACCTCAGAGATTCTGGATAGATCCTTACCAGATTTTATCCTCGCCTTAGCTTCGTCTCAAGACGGAACGGCAGAAAGAGAAACTTTCGGATGCCCGCGCGGGTTTTTTGGATCTGCGCTGGACCCCCTTGGCAGCGCCTCAGGCGCCGCCCGTGGCGCGTTCCGCGCGCCATGGAGAGGGAGTCCAGCGCCGATCCAAGAAGTCAGTGCGGATCTCCGACGGCTTATTCTTATGCATGTTTTGCTTATCGAGAGGAACGAGAAGATGGGAACGCTTCCGGTCATCACCTCACCGTTCCATCATAGCCAAGGCCACAGGGTGGCCAGCCGCAGCCGAACCGACTGCGTGCGGGCGCGGCTCAACGAGCAGGTGCTGCTCTCATGCCTGATCATGTTCGCGGAGGGCTTCTACGTCACCCAGTCTTTCCCTTACGGCGCCTGGATGGTGGAGACTCTGCGGGGCACCTCGCACCGCGTCGGGCTCTACACCGGCCTCCTCAGTTCGGCCACCGCCTCTGGGATGCTCCTCTCCGCCTACATGTGGGCTTCTGTCTCCAATCGGAGAGGCCGGCGCTTTTGCCTGCTCATCGGGCTGGCCGCTGGCGCGACAATCACGGCCCTGCAGGCGTTCTGCAGGAGCTACTGGTTTCTCATCGCGCTGCGCTTCCTGTCCGGCCTGCTGAACAGTAACCTGTCCATCACGCGCACGGCGCTGCGGGAGACCTTCCAGCACGAGGGGAGCGAGGACACGTGGGCGTTCTCCACGCTGAGCGTCGCGTTCAGCGCCTCCTGCATGGCAGGCCCCTCGCTGGGCGGGCTCCTGTACGGCAGGGCAGCGCCCTGGCCGCTGGAAGCCCGACCCTGGTCGGCCGCGATGCTGCTGTCCACGCTGTTGTACGCGTGCAGCATGGCTCTCGCCTGGTGGCGCCTGCCAGAGACCGCCTTCCTCGCCGCGCACGCCGCACCGCACGAGGGCCCAGACGGGCTGCGGCGCGTGGAGGAGGAGGGGCCCCCCGCGGGCAGGCAGCGGCCCCTCCTGCGGGACGCGAACTTCCTGCTGCTGCTCGTGATGGGCGGCGGCCACTCCTACGTGTTCACGGGGTGGGAGATCGCCTACCCGCTCCTGGCGAGGCTCCCGGCCGTGCAGCGGGGGGAGCAGTGGACGGCGGCACAGATCGGCGTCGCCTTCCTCGCTGGCAGCTGCGGGCTCTGCGCGTACTGCCTCGCCCTGTACCCCAGGATCGCCCGGCGCGTCCCCGTCGTGCGGATCTGGCTCTTCTCCTGGGTCGCGCCGCTGCTCGTGTTGCCCGCCTTCCCGCGGGCCCTGGCGCTCCTCTGCGAGGGCGAGGGCGGGCCTTGCGCGGGGAGGCCCCTGGCCGCGGCGCTCAACTTCGCGGCCCAGGCCTGCATCAGCGTCCTGCTCGGCAGCGGCTTCATCAGCGTCCAGGTGCTGCTGAACGGCTACGTCGGCGCCCGGCCAGACGCGCCCACGGCCCTCGCCCTCGCCAACAGCATGCTCGTGTCGACGCAGGCGCTCGCGCGTGCGGTCTCGCCCGTGGCCACCGGGTGGCTCTTCGCGCTGGGGCTCGAGCAGGAGGGGGAGGGCGCGCCTGGGCTCGGCTGGGCCAGCCGCTCCCTCCCCTTCGACGGCCTCGCGCTCGTTGGCCTGGCGGCCTGCCTGGCGTGCGGGGCGGCCTTCGAGGCGCGGACCTTACTGGCGGGCTGCGGCGGCTAGGTCTCCCGCTGTGGAGGCGGCGGCGGTAGCGAGGAGGGCAGCTGCGGGGAGGAGGAGGAGGAGGAGGAGGAGGAGGAGGAGGAGGAGGAGGAGGAGTAGGAGGAGGAGGAGGAGGAGGAGGAGGAGGAGGTGGAGGTGGAGGAGGAGGAGGAGGACCACTGGAAACCCAAGACCCATCAACGAAACTGCAACAGACCCTCCCTCCAAGTTCTTTTTTTTCACAGGTTCCTGGAAGGATCCATGTTCACTGTGGAAAGGGCCCCGTTGGAAGACAAGCGTCTGAACATCCTGAACCGTGTCAAAACATGTGTCCTGGGACTTCAGCGCCGCGAATCCATGTTACTGTTAGGTCCCGACGATCTTGACTCGCGCCAGAACACCATCCCTGGAACTTCCACACCGCGAATCAACGTGACAGTTGAGCACTGAGAGTCCTACATCATGCAACACAGAATTTCTGGGACGTCAAACATGAGAATCCTTGAAACAGTTGTAAGCTTTCAAGACGAGTGTGCGCGGCGCTAATGCGATAGCCACATGGTTAAAAGGAGCTGGCCTCCATCCGTTAACCTCCTGCAGACATGTATGACGATTGTGCGCGGCGCTCACGCGAGAGCCACATCTTGCCAGCCCTACGGCCACGTCTCAGGGTGCGACAGGCCATTGTCATGAATAAGAAGCAGGGATGGGGGGGGGGGGAGAGTTCGGGAGCATCCTCACCTTGGCCCCCCCCCACCCCCGAAGCAGGTCCAGCTGGGCTCCCCGAAGAGGCTTTGGCGCGCCCGGGAGCACCTCTGGGGCAGGTATGCGTCTGCTGGGGAGCCGCCAGGGCTGCCAGCACCGTTGACTGGGGCCCCCCGGCTCGGACCCCGCCCCTCCAAACTGGCAGGGCCAGGCTCCTGTCAGGAGGGAGAAAACACACAGACACAATTCATCGTCGATCCCCCAGAAAATATGAGAAAATATTGGAAGTGGGGGGGAAGACGGAAATCCAAAAAAATTGGAAACCTATGGGGAATCTTTTTATCTGTGTGTATTTGCTTGTGTGTCCCAGGGCCCCTTCCTCCTGGGGGAGGGGCTCCGGGAGGGCACTTGCCTTTCGGACGCCGGGGAGTTGGCGAGTGCTGATGGCCTGCGTCCTCGCTCGGCCTCTTGGCCCCAATTGGTGGGAGGGGGGCGGCCCGGGTCGCCACGGCCGGACTCGCTTCGACGATCTCCTGCTCGGGCCTTGAGATCCGACGCCTCGGCCACTTTGTGAAGCATCGTGAGAAGTCACGACCGGAGCCCTGGACCCCACCTTCTCGGGGGAGAAAAAGATACGGATGCGTGTTGTCCCCCGTCGTGTTCGGCCTTTCTTGGTCCTCCTGGGGAATCCTCGTTGTCACCGCTGGATTCGCCTCGAAATTCTGGTCAGTACGCACCCCAAGAGAGGTCCAGGGACAACACGTATCCGTCTCTTTCCGCCCCCCAACCTTCTGCGCCACCTCTCGAGCTGGGTGGATCGGTGAGGGTCCCAGGGCCCGGCAGGAGTCGAAGCCATCTGGCTGGAAGAAAGGGCGACGCCAGGATCTCAGGGGAGCGCGCCCCGCGAGGAGTCCCGGGGCCGATCCGGGAGGAGTGGCGGGCGGTGCGCAGAAGGGTGCCGCGCGAGGGGGGGCCGCCTTTTCCAGGGGTGCGCCCCACCTCATGGATGCCCTCCTGCCTTCGAGACGCCTGTTTCGAAGCCTCTGGCCCAGACTTCCGGCGCACTGGACATGTCAAGGCGGGTGTTTGTTTCCCAGCCACACCAATCGAAGCCCTTCCTGCTGTGAGTGCCCTCCCTCCTCTTCCGCCCTCCGCGGCCGCGCCCCGCCTCGGGCACACACCCCTGGCAGCCGGACAACTAGTGCCTGCCATAGCCCGGCTCGCCCGACCGCGCGTGCGCATCGCCTCTGCAGCGCTGCGACGTAAAAAGTTGTTTCCTCGGTCTTTATCGTCTGAGGTCCCTCCCGGGGCTCGGGGGGTGCCGAAAAAGGCCCAGGATGAAAAACTGGGCCCGGGGAAAGTTTCGTGATTTTCAAGGTGCCCAGCGCTGAGAAAATAGGGAACCCTGATTCTGTGGGGCAGGATCCTTCCCAGAAGACCCCGGTCTTCTCGAAGGCCAACCCCCCTCGCCATTCCCTGGTGCGCGCTGCGGAGTTTGGGTGGAGGCGGAGGTTAGGGCTAAACGCTGGCCTGCCACAGACGCTGCCGAGATGCACCGTTTTATTGTGTACATTCTTCGGAGCCGGCCCGGTCGGCTCTGGGACGGATTCTCGGCTGCTCGGCAGCTTTATTCCCCAGCTTTAATAACCTTTCAATCTGGTCGTTGAGGATATGTTCAATTTTTCTAGTGGTTTTCTTGACTCGTTGTCAATCGGGGGCCCGCCCGCTGCCTGCGTGTAATTCTCGCATGCGGGTCGGGCCTATTTTTTTTTTCTCCTGCGCCTCGCCGGGAGGGCGGACGAGCCAGCAGATCAGCCGCCCGGCGCCGCGCGGTGCAAGAGTCCGGAGGCAGCGCGGGCCCCGCAGGCTCGGGCGGAGCTTGTCGCGCGGTTGTCGCTTGAGAAACGTCTGGCCATGCCTCTTCTTCAACGGGGGTAAATCACCACCCACCAAACCACCCCAACCCAACCCGAAGGCTTCAATTTGCCCTCCATTTCCAGTGGGGGGGGGGATCGGGGAACATCGAAAAAACACATGATCCCCGTACCCCCCCAACCCGAAATTCGGGTCAACCTCGTGTCTTCGGGTTGGGTTGGGGTGGTCTGGGTAGGTAGTCAGCAAAGGGAGGCACACTCCATGCATTCCCAGTGGCGGATGTGTTCCCTGTGGCAAGGCGTCCCGGAGCGCTCCCAGAGCGTCCCGCGGCTGCGGCGCCCAACACATGCTCCCAGCCCGCCAGCTCTCGGAGATCTCGAGGTGCATCTACCCGATGTTGTCCTCTTCCCGCCTGGTAGAGCATCTGGTTGGAAACAGGCAGCCCCCCCCCCCCCCCAGGAAGTCCTGGCGGGCCTTCACTCACCACCCACCAATCCACCCCAACCCAACCCGAAGCCCTCAATTTGCCATCCATTTCCAGTGGGGGGGGGGGTCGGGGAACGTTGAAAAACACATGGAACCCGTACCCCCCCCCAACCCGAAATCGGGGTCAAATTCGGGTCCTCGGGTTGGGTTGGGGTGATCTGGTAGGTAGTCGCTAACAGGCCCCCCGAGTAGTCCGCTGGGCGCTCCCACCCTGGCGCCGCCTCCCCGCGGCGCCCTGGGGCGCTCCGCGCCTCAGGGCGGTGGCGCTGAGCCCGCCTTTTGGGCTATGTGGGCTATTCGGGAGGCCCGTCGATCGGCGGCGAGCCCGGGGGGAGGAGGGAGGAGGGAGGAGGACGAGGAGGAGGAGGAGGAGCAGGAAGGAAGGAGGAGGAGGAGGAGGAGGAGGAGGAGGAGGAGGAGGAGGAGGAGGAGGAGGAGGAGGAGGAGGAGGAGTGGGAGGGGTCAGGCCTTCTTGGAAGGCGGCGTGGCTTCTCGGAAACCCTTGCGCCTCCCGAGCAGCCCTGCCTCCTTCTCGCTTTCCTCCCGTGGCTCGCAGCCGAGCGGAGGCCAGCTGGGACTGTTCGGGGGGCATGCCGATGCCAGCCGGGACTTTCTTGGGGAGGGCTGCCCGTGCGCAGCCCGACGCCTCTAACTTACCAGCCTGGAACATATCCCTATCCCTATGTTTGATATCACCTCACCTCGATGCCGATCTTAAGGATTCCCTCAGTTTTTGAGGGCCTATCCCTAAGATTGTCCTCGCTTTTTGCTCGCTCATCTTAGGGATAGGGATACGTTCGAGGCTGGTTATTAACACGGCCACCGTCGTCTCAGTGAAAATCTCGCGAGATTTCCGCCGAACAAGACCGCGGGCCCCAACAAGTGGGCTCCACCGGCCATCCCCGCGGGGGTTCGCCTGGCGGGGGCCCGAGCTCCCGCTGGGCCTTACAGTCGAATAGGGGACAGCTGGCAGGGAGGAAACGCTCCTCCTCCTCCTCCTCCTCCTCCTCCTCCTCCTTCTCATTCCTCCTCCTCCTCCTCCTCCTCCTCCTCCTCCTCCTCCTCTTCCTGCTCATTCCCTTTGCGTCTTCATACGTCTCAGGTGGCGGAGGAAGAGGAGGAAAACATTGGCAGAGGGCAGGAAGGGACATGAGCATGAGGAGGCGTATGAGGAGAAGGAGAGTGGGGAGGAGGAGGAGGAGGAGGAGGAGGAGGAGGAGGAGGAGGAGGAGGCTGAGCGGCATGAGGCGGAGGATGAGCAGCAGGAGGAGGTGGAGGAGGCGGAGGATGAGTAAGGATGGAAGGAGTGAGTCCAGGAGGGGAGAGGAGGATAAATATGGTTTTCACGAGGAGGAGAGGACGATGAGGAGGAGATGGAGGAGGCGTATGTCGTGGGAAAGACTGGGGAGAGGGATGAGGAGGTGGAGGAGGTGGCGGCTGAGGATCAGAAGTGGGGGTCAAATCCTGCCCCTAAAACCTTACTGAACCACCTTGAACCCTCTGAACTCCCGCATCCTTTCCTCCTCCTCCTCCTCCTCCCTTCTCCTGCTCCTCCTGTCCTCCTCCTCCTCTCCCCCTCCCCTCTCCCTCCTCCTCCCCTCCTCCTCCTCCTTCCTCCTCCTCCTCCCTCCTCCCTCCTCCCTCCTCCCTCCTCCCTCCTCCCTCCCCCCTCCCTCCCTCCTCCTCCCCCGCGGCCCAGGAGCTCGCAGTGGAGAGCCCCTCCTGTGCCGCTCGACGGCGCGACGACCCGCCTACCGCGCACGCGGCGGCGCCGCGATGCGCCCGGCCCCTGCAGCGCAGGCCGCCCGCCGGCGCGCGCCGAGGGGGCGCGCCGCCGCGCGGCCACCCCTCGGCGTGCTGCTGGGCACCTGGGAGGTATGGCCCGACGGCGGGGCTCTCAGCCGAGGCCCGCGGCGGGCCGGCGCGCCGCAGCCCCTCGGGCACCGTGCCGGGCCTCGGGACCGTCAAGAAGGGACTCGGGATGAAGGACCGGTCCTGGGGCAGTGGATAGTCAGAGCCCCGAATCATCCAGGGTAACTCGGGTCAGGGCTAACTCGGGTTCGCTTTTCGGGATTCCGAACCCGAGTTACCCCGGGCCCGAGTTACCCCGGATAATTCGGGCGCCCAGAGCCCCAATTCATCAGGGGTAACTCGGGCGCCCAAGATAGGGGAACAAAAAGTGGCATAAACATAAAAACTCGGAGATCCGCGCGGATTTCTCGGATCGGCACTGGGGCCCCCCGGCGGCGCCTCCGGCGCCTCCCCTGGCGCGCTCCGCGCGCCAGGGAGGGGGGTCCAGCGCCGATCCAAGGAATCTTCGCGGACCTCCGAGTTTTTATGTTTATGTCACTTTTTGTTCCCCTAGTGGAAAAATCGTGGCGGGAGGTGTTTCCGTTTACTCTCGGCCTCGGAAGGCCCTCGCTGGCCCTCGGGGCAGTCAAGAAGCTGCTCAGGATGAAACACGGGCTCAGGATGAAACAGAGGCGTGCCAGCGTAGCGAGCGACCCCCAGCAAAGCACCCCAAGAGCAGGTGGAGGGGCGGGTGGAGGAGTCGGGGGTCGGCGGCAGGTGTGAGGGCACGACGGTCATGTGCACCTTCGTGTGTCTGCGGCAATGGTCGTGGACCAAACATGTCGCCAGCGTGGAGGCGAGAGCGCGGACCCCAAGTTGCGCGGAGGTCTCCGGCGAAAGGGCGGCCTGTCCGAGCGGTATGGGGCTCCCCATGCCCCTTGCTGGACTCTCCTGTTGTCCTGTGGTCGGCGGCGGGCGCGGGGGGGAAGTGAGAAGGAGATGGCCTTCTCAGAAGGATCGGAAGCCCCCCCGGCCTTCTGAGAAGTTTGTTCTAAGCCTAACCCGGAGGCACACAAGAGCTCCTCATCTCAGAAGGCGCGAGGGTTTCCGAGAAGTCCCGCCGCCTTCTGCGGAGGCCTTCTCCTTCTCATTTCCCCCCCTCGCTCGCCGCCGACTTCTGGCTGCTAAAACTCGCGCTCCCCGGACCCCCGACGTCATGTTTTTTTCACAGCGCCGACCCTCCGAGGCCTCGACCCCTTCCCCTGGACCGCGTTTTCCTCCCGAGCCGTGGCGTTGACGGTCCCCAGGGCCCGCGAGGGCCTCCCGAGGCCGAGCGTATGGACAAACCCACCTTTCTGTTCTTCCCTTGCCCGAGGGAGTCTGGGCCCTGGCTGCGACCTGGCATCGCTCGGGCATGTGTAATTTTTTTTTTCGGCGAGGACCCTTGAGGACCACCCTGGACCCTCGAGCAAAAAAAAAAGAAACACGCACGACACCGACAGATGCACGGGAGGTGGACGTCCGAGCGACGGCAAGGCGAGCGCTCGCGCTCTCCCGCGGAGCGTCCCCCCCCAGGAGGAGGAGGAGGAGGAGGAGGAGGAGGAGGAGGAGGAGGAGGAGGAGGAGGAGAGAGGAGGAGGAGGAGGTGGACGACGAGGAGGAGGAGGAGGGAGGAGGGGAGGAGGAGGGAGGAGGAGGAGGAGGAGGGAGGAGGAGGAGGGAGGAGGGAGGAGGAGGAAGGGAGGAGGAAGGAGGAGGAGGAGGGAGGAGGAGGAGGAGGGAGGAGGGAGGAGGGAGGGAGGAGGGAGGAGGGAGGAGGGAGGATGCTGAAGCCTGTCTTCCAATATGTGGGGCTGCCCTCGGCTCCCCCCCCGTGGGCGCCCTCGCCGGGCCCTCGCCGGGAGCGCCGACGGAGAAGGCGGCTCGAGGGACGCGGCGCCGGCCCCTGGTGCGGCGAGGGTCGGGGCGTTGCGGGGGCCCCGCAGCCTCCGCTCCTCCTCCTCCTCCTCTCCTCCTCCTCCTCTCCTCCTCCTCTTCCTCTCCTCCTCCTCCCCTCCTTCCTCCTCTCCTCCTCCCCCTCCCCTCCTCCTCCTCCTCCTCCTCCCTCCGGACGACCGGCAGGGGATTGGGAAAGGGGGGGGTCGAAATTTGCTGCATGCAGCCGGTTTCGGCCTCACCGAGGGGCCCGATCCTCGATGCACGGCCGCCTCCGGCGCCGGGAGGCACCGGGAAGATCAGCTGCGCGAGCTGATTCTCAAGCCCCGCCTCTGCTATCCCCCCCCCTTTCGCCCGACCCGACCTATGTGGCGAGGGTCGGGGCTTCCGGGGGCCCCGCAGCCTTACGTTTATGTCGGGCGTGTCCCCCTTACAGGGGGATTTTCAGCGAAAAATAAAGAATACCCCAAAAATATTCCCAAACCTGTTAAACATATTAAAAGAATAGTCCCCAGATTATTTTTAGACTTGATTATTTTTCGATTATTTTTGGTGTACTTTTTATCTTTCGTCGACAACCCCCCCTGCGAGGGTCGGGGCTTCCGGGGGCCCCGCAGCCTCCAGTAGATGGACAATATATTCGAACCCTCGCACACATTCGAGGGAGCTTCTAAGTCACCCCCGCGCCCCCGGCAGCAATGTGGATCTCAGTAGAAAGGCTGTGCTTTGGGGTTCGAGTATTTCTGTCCACCCACGCCCCCCCGTCGCCACGCCATCAATGTTGGTTTCGGGGGGTCGGGGGGGCATCTTGGGCCACAGGGTTCGAATGTAATGTCCATGTACGGTTACGTCGGGCACGTCATGTTGAAACACAGGAGCAAAAATAGTCTGGGGACGTCTTTTTGGGGGAACATTTGCGGACTATTTTTTATCCTTCGTCCAAAATCCCCCTGTAGGAGGACACGCCCGACCGAACCGTAACCGCATCCCCCGGATAATAAGGCATCCCCCCCCCCCAGACCCCCTCGCGGGCAATGAAAAAATCGTAGCGGCAGGTTTGCCGCATTCTCGGCCTCCGGAGGCCCTCACGGGCCCTCGGGACCGCTGAAAACTTTTCAGGATGGAAAACTGGTCAGGGCTTCCGGGGGCCCAGTAACCGCATCCCCTGAATAATTCGAAGAAGAAAAATGGCATATATAGACATATTTTTTGGCGCTCCGCGCGGATCCTCGGATCCGCGCTAGGCACCCCCTGGGCGGCGCCTCCGGCGCCGCCCCTGGCGCTCTCCGCATCCCAGGGAAGGGGGTCCAGCGCAGATCCAAGAAATTCGCGCGGAGCGCCAAAAGTTTACGTATGGTTATGCCGTGTTGTTGTTGTTTTTTATTTTTCTTCTTCATCCTCTTCTTATAACTATTATTGTTAACTTTTCTTTACATTCTAATGATAATAATGATTCGGCACCCCCCTAGACCCCCGCGGGCAATGAACAAATCATAAAGGGGGGTGTTGCCGTATTCTCGGCTTCGGGAGGCCCCCATCAGCCCTCGGGACCGTCAAAACACGGCTCAGGGTGAAAAACCGGTCCAGGGAAACGGGTCGAGACATCAGAGGGTCGGCGTTGTGCAAAAAACATGGCGTCCGGGGTCTGGGCCCTACCCTTTCCATTTGAATGCGATACAATGGACCGTTGTTATATTGAGTGTGGTTCCCCTTGAATGCATATCTTTTTATCCACGGGATGGAATGTGGTTCAATCGAAGCAGCAGGCGGGCAGGTCGAACGTTATTGTCCCCTCCAGAATTCCGATGGTAGATTGTAGCTCTGAGGGTGGGGATGTCTCAGGCGAAACGCGATCCAGACATCCCAACATCGTAGCATGTCCGGGAAGCAGTTCAGTATATCCTGCCTGGACCCCGAGCTTTCCCTTTCCCCAGGGGATTCTTCTCAGCAGGCTTATATCGGACGCATCAGGACATCGGATGTCTGGAGGAGGAGGAGGAGGAGGAGGAGGAGAAGGAGGAGGAGGAGGAGAATGAGGAGGAGGAGGAGGAGGAGGAGGAGTAGGAGGAGATGGACGAGGAGGAGGAGAAGGAGGAGAAGGAGGAGGAGGAGGAGGCGGAGGAGGAGGCGGAGGAGGAGGAGGAGGGGGGGGAGGAGGGTTGAGGGGGAGGGGAAGGGGGAAGGGGGAGGAGGAGGGAGGGAGGAGGAAGAGGTGGAGGAGGAGGAGAAGGAGGAGGAGGAGGAGGCGGGCTAGGGGGAGGGGGATGGGAAGGGGGAGGTGGAGGGGAGGAGGAGGAGGAGTGGGGGGGAGGAGAGGAGGAGGAGGGGGGAGGAGGGGGAGGGGGAGGAGGAGGGGAGGAGGAGGAGGAGGAGGAGGAGGAAGGAGGAGGAGGAGGAGGAATGTCCTCCTCGTCTGCTCGCGGGGGAAGGCTCAACGATGTAGACCTCGTCGGTGAGATGTCGGGGCGCCGAGGTCTCGGGTTCGGGCACCCTTTTTCTGGGAGGGCCCCATCGAGGCCCCTATAGTCGCCACGGACGGCTGCGCCGCGAGATTCGGGTTACGGAAGTCGGGCACGTCCCTCCACAGGAGGAATATGCAAAAATAGTCACACACAAAAACAAGATGGGGACGATGTTTCCAACGTGTCTCACTATATTTGAGCATTTGTTGAATTGTTTTTGTTCCTCCAAAGCCCGCCTGTAAGAGGACACGCCCGACCTAAGACTCTGGCCATGACGCAACCATCAGGAGAGGTCAGGCAAGGGGCTGGCTTTGACCCCAGGCGGGTCTGCGATCTCCGCAGGGGCACGACGACGATCCCCGCGCTTCGCCATACGCGGCCCCGGGGCCCGGAAGCCCAGAGTCCCTCCCAGCAGGGGTCCGCGCGAGGGCGCGAGGATGTAGCCGCGCTTGGCGCATGGCCCTGCCTGCGCGCGGCGCGACCTCCCTAGACCCTCTCCGTCATGATTATTTCGCGACGCCGACCCTCCGAGGTCTCGACCCACTCCCCTGGACCCGCGTTTCAGCCCGAGCCGTCTTATGACGGTCCCGAGGGCCGGTGAGGGCCTCCAGAGGCCGAGAGTACGGAACGATTTGTCGCTATGATTGCTTCATTGCCCGACCGGGTCTGGGGGGGGGCGTTGTCGTTATTATCATTAGAATTGAAAGAAAAGAATACTGGTAGTAGTAGTAGTAGTAGTAGTAGTAGTAGTAGTAGTAGTAGTAGTAGTAGTAGTAGTAGCAGTAGTAGTAGTAGTAGTAGTAGTAGTAGTAGTAGTAGTAGAGTAGTAGAGTAGTAGTAGTAGTAGTAGTAGTAGTAGTAGTAGTAGTAGTAGTAGTAGTAGTAGTAGTAGTAGTAGTAGTAGTAGTAGTAGTAGTAGTAGTAGTAGTAGTAGTAGTAGTAGTAGTAGTAGTAGTAGTAGTAGTAGTAGTAGTAGTAGTAGGTAGGTAGGTAGGTAGGTAGTAGGTAGTAGTAGTAGTAGTAGTAGTAGTAGTAGGTAGGTAGGTAGGTAGGTAGTGGTAGTAGTAGTAGTAGTAGTAGTAGTAGTAGTAGTAGTAGTAGTAGTAGTAGTAGTAGTAGTAGTAGTAGTAGTAGTAGTAGTAGTAGTCGTAGTCGTAGTAGTAGTAGTAGTAGTAGTAGTAGTAGTAGTAGTAGTAGTAGTAGTAGTAGTAGTAGTAGTAGTAGTAGCAGTAGTAGTAGTAGTAGTAGCTAGTAGTAGTAGTCGTCGTAGTAGTAGCGTAGTAGTAGTAGTAGTAGTAGTAGTAGTAGTAGTAGTAGTAGTAGTAGTAGTAGTAGTAAGTTGTAGTGGTAGTGGTGGTAGTGGTAGTAGTTAGTAGTGGTAGTAGTAGTAGTCGTAGTAGTAGTAGTAGTAGTAGTAGTAGTAGTAGTCGTAGTAGTAGTCGTAGTCGTAGTAGTAAGTAGTAGTAGTAGTAGTAGTAGTAGTAGTAGTAGTAGTAATAGTAGTAGTAGTAGTAGTAGTAGTAGTAGTAGTAGTAGTCGTAGTAGTAGGTAGTAGGTAGTGTGTAGTGGTAGTGGTAGTGGTAGTAGTAGTAGTAGTAGTAGTAGTAGTAGTAGTAGTAGTAGTAGTAATGATAATAAGGATAAGAATAATAATGCGAATACGAATGATAACAATAATGATAAGAAGAAGAAGAAGAATAGTCATAGTAATAACAAGAACAAGAAAAATAATAAGCAGAAGAAAGAAACAAAACGGCCTAAACTGGCGGGCTCGGGCGGGCTCGGGCTCCTCTCAGCCCCGCCCGGCGTCTTCCCCGCGCCGTGCCCGGCCGAGGTCGCCGGAGGCGGCGCCGCGGTGGCGAGGCTCGTGGCGGCCTGCCCGGAGGAGCACTGCAGCAGCCCAAGGCCAGGGCCGCGGGATGGGCAGGGTGCGCTGCCTGCGGGCCCCATGTGCTGCCAGTCGTGCACCGTGGATCCTGTAGAGGGACAGGTCCGATTCGAAGCCCAGAGCCTCGAACCTCGCCCCTCCCTCCTCCTCCTCCTCTTCTTCCTCTTCCTCCTCCTCCTCCTCCTCCTCCTCCTCTTTCTCCTCCTCTATTGTCGACTCCAGGCCTCTCGAATGGGGTCCGAGTAGTCGGGATCAGGCGGATCGCACCGCAGCGCCGGTGCATCGGCGATGCGACGCGATGTGGAGGCCGATTCTCTCCTCGCCGACGTCTCCGCTGCATTCGGGGTCGTTCTGGGGCCTCCTGGGGGGCCTCCTGGGGGCCTCTTGGGGGCCTGTTGGGGGCCACTTGGCATCCGAGCACGCCTCAACGGGCCAGGGGGCACGGTGGCGGATTTCTCGCAGCGCGAGGCGCGAACCTCTCTGACGATCTCTTCGTTCTCTTCCTGGTGTTTCACTTCCTCCTCGTTGTCCTGATGCTCCTCCTCGCTATCCTCACGTTCTCCACGCCATCCTCGTCATCGCCTCCTCGTCGCCCTCGCCTTCCTCTTGTGTTGTGTCTTCTTCTTCTTCTTCTTCTTTTTCTTCTTCTGCGTCTTCTTCCCCGTCTTCCACCAATGAGCCCCTTGGACTAAAGCGGCGCTTCCCGTTCTTGTCCGATCAGGTTTCTCGCAGCCCGAGGCGCGAACCTCTCTGACCCGAGCATAGCAGGGCCGGGCTCAAGAGGGCTGCCAGCAGCCCCGCCGCAGAGCGCCGCCGCCGCTCCCGGTGGCCAGCAGGGCGCGATGCTCGCCCGGTGGCTCTGCTTGGCCCACGGGGCCGGGGCAGCGGCCGGCAGCTATCGGATGGCCTTCGGCCGACCCCGCCACCGTGCCTGGGCGGTGGGCACCCAGGCCTGGAGGGTTTCTCCGAAGGGCTTAGGCGACCCCTCCTCCTCCTCCTCCTCCTCCTCCTCCTCCTCCTCCTCCTCCTCCTCCTCCTCCCTCATCCCCTCCTCCCTCCTCCTCCTCCTCCTCCTCCTCCCCCTCCTCCTCCTCCTCCTCCTCCTCCTCCTCCTTCTCCATCTCCTCCTCCCCCCTCCCCCTTTCTCCACCTCCTCCATTCCTTTTCCTCATACATATTTTTTCCCTGTCGCGCACCAAGGCCAATTTTTAGGGCGGACCGGGCGTTTCGCCTGAGACTTCCTCACCATACATGTCTCTGAAGCTTAAACATTGGGAACAGTTTCGCAGATGGAGGGCGGGTCTTCTTCAAAATGGGGCTCTCGCCCTAGCGCGGCGCGCGTTTTATTTGAAACTTATTATAATGAGCTTCCTGGATTGAGGGCGGGTCGTTTTCAAAATGTGGCTCTCGCCTTAGCGCGGCGCAAATTCGTTTTCAAATTCTGAAGAAGGAGTTTCACGGGTTGAGGGCGGGTCGTTTTCAGAATGTGGTTCTCGCCTTAGCGCGGCGTACGTTCGTCTTAACAAATAAACAAGAGCTTCACGGATTGAGGGCGGGCCGTTTTCAAAATGTGTCTCTCGCTTTAGCGCGGTGCACATTCGTTTTCAAAAGTTCCAAGATGTTAGCGGATTTCAGGCGGTTTCTTTTCAACATGTGGTTCTCGCCTTAGCGCGGCACACAACCGTTTTAAACATGCAAGAGTTTCGCGGGTTCCCAATCTTTACGTATCAGAAACGGCGTTCCGAAAGGATTCAGGATTGTACGGGTGCAGCAGTTACGTTGGTTCGCAGTGTTGAAGTCCCAGGAATGGTGTTCTGGTGCGATTCAGGATTGTCAAGACGCAACAGTCAGGTTGATCCGTGGCGTTGGAATCCCGAGAATGACGTTTTGGCATGCTTCAGGGTCTTCCAACGGTTGTCTTCCAAAGAGGCAGTTCCTTCAATAAAAACCCATCTTTGGAGGGGCCTATGAAGAGGGAGCTTGGAGGGAGGGGTTTTCCAACATCGTTGAAGCCGTTTTGGGGCCTCTTGGGATTGGGCAAAGGACCTGAGGAAACGCCCACTCCGTGCTCAGCAGCACGGTGGCGGATGAGAAGCACCGCTCCTACGTTGGACCAGACTTCTTCAGCAGGTGGGATTTTGACAGCTCTCCCGACCCGACCAGCGGGCACGTCGTCTACGTGGATCGATCCACCGCGCTGTCCACAGGCCTGGCCAACGCCACCAGCGACCGAGTGTACATGGGCGCAGAGATGACGTCTAACACTGGAGGTGCTGGCCGCAGGTCCGTACGCGTGAGGTCGAAGGACGAGTACGATTCGGGGCTCTTCATCGTTAGCATCGACCACGTGCCAACAGGCTGCAGCACATGGCCAGCCTTTTGGATGTTCGGAGAGGATGCCAACCATCCGTGGCCATCCCTGGGCGAATACGATGTCATCGAGGGGGTCAACAGCCAGGTTCGCACGTCGACCACGCTGCACACCACGGACGGGTGCGACCAGTCCGAGCTGGTGGCTGGGCAGGACATGACCGGCACTTGGGCGCATGGATCTTCGCACGAAGTGGCATCGAATTGCTATGTCCATGCCCCTGGCCAGTACAACAACCAGGGTTGCATCCAGGAAGGCCCTGTCGATTCCATAGGTCCGGGCTTCAACCAGAAGGGCGGCGGCACGTACGCCGCGGAGTGGGCGCCGCAGCACGGCCACTTCCGGACCTGGTTCTGGCCACGGGGCCAGGAGCCGGACGACATCCAGCAGGGTGCCCCGCAGCCGGACGCCTGGGGCACGCCGTACTCGTTCTTCAGGCTCGACCTGAACTGCCCGAAGGAGCATTTCGCGAGCATGCACATGATGTTCGACCTGTCGTTCTGCGGCGACTGGGCTGGCGGCACGTTCCCCAGGGACTGCCCCAGGTTCGCGGAGAAGATGACGTGCGAGGAGCTCGTGGCCTTCCACCCAGAGGAGCTCCAGGAGGCCTACTGGTCCATACGCGCGCTGGACGTGTACCTCCTGCCAGAGAGCGGCGCGGCCGCCGGGGACGGCCCGGGAGCGAAGGAGGGCAGCGGGATCAGCTGGTGGCACTGGCTCATCTCGGGCCGGGCGAAAGGGGGGGATTGGGAAAGGGGGGGGTGCGAAATTTGCTGCATGCAGTTGGTTTCGGCTTCACCGAGGGGCCCATTCCTCGATACATAGTACATAGCCGCCTCCGGCGCCGGGAGGCGCCGGAAAAATCAGCTACGCGAGCGGATTCTCAAACCCCCCCTTTGCTATCCCCCCCTTGCTCAGCGAGGGAAGAACGGTACAACATAAACTTTTCCGCTGTCGGGGGCGCCTGTCCCTGGGCGGCTGGAGAGTTTAGACCCCTGCGGTGCCACCGTGAGGGTATAAACTTGCCAGCCGCCCAGGGACAGGCGCCCCCGACGGCGAAAAAGGTTATTTTGCACCGTTTTTCGCCCGTTCACTTTCGCCCGACCCGGTCATCTCGATGCTCATCGTCTCGCAGAGCTTCGTCATCTGTGGGATCGGCCTCTTCGTGTACCGCGCGGTGCGCCCGCGGGCGCCGCCGCGGGACGTGGAGAAGGCGAGCGAGGCCTCCCCGCCCAGCTCGCCGACGAGGCCGCTCGTCCTCGGGCCGTCCAGCCCCCCGCGGGGCAGCACGCAGCAGGCGCACGGCGGCGCGCAGAGGAGGGGGAGGAGGAGGAGGAGGAGGAGGAGGAGGAGGAGGAGGAGGAGGAGGAGGAGGAGGAGGAGGAGGAGGAGGAGGAGGAGGAGGAGAGGAGGAGGAGGGAGAGGAGGGGGAGGAGGAGGGGGAGGAGGAGGAGGAGGAGGAGGAGGAGGAGGAGGAGGAGGAGGAGAGGAGAAAGAGTCAGCCACGCGCAGAAGGGGGCAGGGGGAGGGGGGAAGGCGTCTCAGAAGCACCCCTGCTTCTTTAGAAGGTGCGGGCCTTCTCTGTAGACGTAA